CGTTAACGAAGATTCTTATAACGAAGTCCTGATCGGCTGGATCAGCAACTTCGTTATATCGAGGTGTGACTGTAATTTAATAGGAACTAAAAAAGCATCTATTATTATTATTGCAATTTACCTCTAGTTTAATATTTTATATATACTTTATATGTTACTTTATAATGTCTAAATTTTTTTTCGTTTTCTTTTATAAAATATTTTCAAATATTTTTTTTTAGTTATTTACCAATTTTGATTTGCATTTTTATTGCAATTTATTATAAATAAGTTTATCTGTATATAGTTTATGACATAGATGTTAGTGTCAGGTAATTCTATTTTATATAATAAAAGTTATAGCCATTCTCAAAAGGAAGAAATAAGTATAAATTTGATTAGCTTCATGCAGGAACTATGAGGGCTATTTTTATTTATATTGATATCAAATATTGATATCAATATCAATATTAATATCAATTTCAATATCAATATCAATATCAATATTGATAGGAATAATGGTTATTTATATATGATATTTTTAAAAAAATAAAATTAGGACTGGAATGATTACGATTACTAATTTAAAATAATAAAAAAATTCATCAAAAACATATACTGCGATAATAAAAATCCTGTTTTATTTGATAATTTTAGCCAAAAAAAATGAACTGATCTAACTTAAGAAAAAATAAAAAAATCACTAATGATTCAATCTAAAACTGTTTAAAACAAATAAATAAGATAAAATAAATAAAATAAGTAATCAAATTAATTATTAAAATAAAAAAAGAAAAATAAAACAATAAATCAAAAAAAATTTAGTCAGCTTACTTTTGTCTTCATTTGAAGGTTGTATCTGATTTTTAGCCTAAGAAATAGTAGAAATAGCACTAAATTAACCTATAATATATAAGAATAAAAATAATAATTAAAATTAGTCAGTTTACTTTTACTATAGTGATGAACCAATCAGTTCTATTCAAAGATTCTATTCAGAAAAGAAGAAACTAATAAATAAAAATAAATAAATAAAAATATTAAAATAATAATTTATTAAAAAATAAAAATAAATAAATAAATAAAAAATAAAAAAAAGAAATTTGAGTTTGCTTACCTTCTCTGCAATAATGAACTGATTAGTTCTATTTAAAAGTTCCATTCAATTCTTAGCCAACCAATTGAACCTAAAAAAAAAATAAAATAATTAATTAAATATTAAAAAAAAAAAAAATTTATAAATTAAATTAAAAAAAAAAATAAAATAAAATAATATTAATAACTTACCTTTGCCTTCATTCAAAGGTTCCTAACTTAAGTGGAAAAACTGATCAAACCAATAAAAAAATAAAATAATTAATTAAATATTAAAAAAAAAATAAAAAAGAAAAATAAAAAAAAAAAAAAAATTAATAGCTTACCTTTACCACAGTAATGAATTAGATAAAAGGTTTCCTCCAGTTTTTAGCTAAAGTGAAGAAATTGATTGAACCTAAAAAAATAAAAAAATTAATTAAATATTAAAAAAAAATAAATATATAAATTAAACTAAAAAAAAATAAAATAAAATAATATTGATAGCATATCTTATTATTGCATCTGTCCTTTTAACCTTTTAATCAAGATCAAATATTGCATATTATTATTATAAATTGCGAAGAATTTTACATTGTATAATATTACAGAATATTACAATTATAATATTTTATCAAAATTTATTTTTCATAATATCTGCATACTATGAAAATATATCTTTAAGTATTACACAAATTTAAATCTTAAGACAACAGATAGTATTTTAATTTTTAAATAATACAATTCAATATTTTTTTTAATATTTTTTTGTAATAAAATTGTAAATGATTTATTAAATTTCATATAATAAATTAATTAAAATATTTGATTAGGTTCAAATTGATATATTTTTAAGTCCAGTATATTATTTTAAAACATGAAATTAAATTTCAGCTTCTAAATTAGGATTTATACTTGATACTTTATGAATATTTAAAATGATTTTCTCAAAAAAATGATGATGATAGAAACGTTTAAGTATGCCTTTATTCTACAATACCACATTTAATAACATATGATAGTAAGCTATTAAATCAAGTTATAAATATAGCAAACCATATGATCTATAATATAATATTAATAGCAAACTATCTATATTTGCATTAAACTAAATATAAAATATTCATCTAATAAAGATACCTATTGTCTACTATAATATTTGAAATTTTAACTAACCCTTGCTAGTTTCATTTGATATGGTTGACTTACCTTGATTTCAAGTCAACTTCAAATCTTAAGTTTGTTTTTCAATCAAGGCTACATCAGTATCTGGATTCTTTATCAGCATTAAGGAAAATTATATAGTATCAGTTTAAATTAAAGTTTACTTCTAAAGTGAGACTTACGGAAAAAATCACATATAAGAAGTTTGCTAGAAAAGGGGCTCTAAGATTAATTTCTATTTTTGCATAATATAATAAACAAAATTTGAGCTTTAATGTTGAGGCGATCTATTTTTATAATTTTAAATCATATGATTTATATCATAATTTAAAATTATATTTTATAATATAATATAAAATATTAAATTATATCAATCAATTCCTAAATAGTATATTAATCAATTTCATCATTTCAAAATCCTATTTTTATATTTCTATGTAAAAAATTCAATTGCTATTTATTCATTTTAATATTAAGTTAAAGTACCTTAAAAATTTAACCAATTAAAGTTATTATTGCATAGAATAATATAAAGCAAAAATTTTAATTTTGTCGAAAAGGTCTCATAGCCATTTTTCATAGCAAACCACCTATATAAACTCTATATTCTGTATAATCTAAATTTTAAAGCACAGACTTAAATTCATATATTAAATACCTATTAGTCTGATCTAAACTTAAAGATTTGAACCTGACTAGTATAATTAATTTATACTTAAAATAATTCAGAGGTATCGACAGATATAAAAATTAAAACCTTCTGATATTAAAATATATTTTTTAATTTTATAAAAATTTATTATGGTTTACTAGTTATACAAATTGTATATAAAAAAGCTTACTTTCTTTGATTTTATATATAATATCATATAAATATATATTTATAATAGATAGGAAAATAAATTTATATTTTGAAATTAAATTAATTTATTCTTTATCAAGTTTAATTACATCATTTATTTCTGATTAGTATTTTCTTTTTTTTTAATAATTTTTTATTTTTAATATAAAATTACTTACATAATGTTAAGTTTTTATGCAACTCTAAATTTCTAATGATTTTATTATTAACAATTAATATTACTTTCTCTAATAAATATCCAGCAAGAAATTCACAGGTTGGTAGTTTATAAGCAAAATTAAGTTCTTTTAAAAGATCTCTAAAAAAAAGATATTTAATAATTTACTAAGGTATACCTACATATGTAAAAGCTTTCATAAGTGCATGACCAATTCTTTTACTTCTCTTTTTAGTAATTTAACAGGACTTCTATTGTTTTATAGACAGTTTTTTGTTACTTTTACTAACATTATTAATATTTAATTAACTGTTACATTTAAATATTCACGAATAATTAAAGGTTTTACTTAGATGCAATAGTTTACTACATTATTACTAATTAACCACTTGTTTAATATTTTGTATAATTTTTACATGTTACTTCATAATATGCAGGTATTTTTTCACTTCTTTTTATAAAATGATTTTAAACATTATTTTCTGATCATCTATGATTTGTATCAGATATTAAAGATAAATTAGATTTTGAACTTTAATCTCAAACTAAAACATTTTCTTCAGACTCTCCCTCTTTTATAGACTCTTATTTTTAGTACCTTATATAAGATATAGCATCTTATAGAAGAAATGTTTAAATATTTCAAAAAATATGATAATACAAGATTTTCTTATATTACTAAAACAATAAATAGTATTCTTCCTTCAGATTTAGATGAAGAATATGACAATTTAGCAGAAGAAGTTCTTTTTAGTATACTGAATAATCTTAGGATTTTTTTTAGTCTTTTTATATCATTATTGCTGATTAATTTAAACACGTTAATACTGATGCCTTTGCAGCTATTCTGCAACTAATACTCTAGGAAAATAATAAGATTTATTGATCTTTTTACATTTTCAAATTCTTTTAAGTTTTTTGTTTTAGTTAACTAATTAACTAGCAGCCTTTCTCTTATAAAACTATTTTTAGCATAAAATTTCTTTTAAATATAGTATCAAATTTTAAACTATTACACTTTTTTTAAAAAAAAAAGGATAAAATAAATAAAATTAATAATCAAAGTAATTACCAAAATAAGAAAAAGAAAGAAAAAAATAAATCATAAAAAATTAGTTAGCTTACCTTCACTGTGGTAATAATCTGTGTTCAGTTCTTAGCCTAAGATTAGAAATTGATCAAACTTAAATAAATAAAAAAATTAACTTACCTTCGTTGTGATAATGATGTATTCAAAAATAATGTTTAAAATGGAAAATAATAAATTTAGATAAAATTAATTTATAATTAAAAAATATTTTCATCTAAACAAAAACATCACAACCACTTTCAATTTAATAAAACATTATAATTTAATACATATATAATATATTTTTCAGCAAATATAATAATATTAAATAAAATATATATTACTTTTAAATATTAATTAAGGCCAGTCTTGATCAGATATAAATAATAATCTAGTTGCATTAAAAAAAATCAAAAGCAAAAAAAAACCATTTTTTATATTCTATAATTGTGATACAATAAATTTGTTAAAACCTATCAAATTTAAATAAAATTTGCAAAGTTATTATCATTATAATAAATTTTATTATATTTTCTAAGTAAAAATTCAAAAAAATATAATTAATTAGTAAGATTTTAAAGATAAATATATAATAAATTATTATAAAAAAAAATTATATTTTTATAATTATATTTTGTTATCTACTGATCTCAGAATATAAAAATATAATTATTTAATAAATTTTAATAAAATGAATCTAACAAACAAAATATTTTTTTATAATCATTAAATAAGTTATTTTTTGATATATAAAAATTTAAAAATATTATCTTTAGATATATTTTAAGATGATAATTCTAATAAATTTTATTTCATCTTTTTATAATTATTATTTGTTAAAATATTATAATTTTTTTATAACAATTTTATACCTATAATTTAAGAAATAAGTAAATTAAAATTATTATTAATCTGTATTTTAAGAAAAAACAAATTAAAAAAGAAGAAATAATTTTTTTATAATTTTTATTTAATTTTAAAAAAATAGTTAGATAAATGCTAAATTAATAAAATAATATATATAATAATTTTATTAGTAATTTATTGTAATTAATTAAAGATTATTATTATATATTTTATTAATTTTTATTTTAAATATTACTTTTATATTTATATTAATATTTTATTATTATAATAAAACTTAATATATTATAAATGTTGATTTTTTAAAAAATTTATTTATTTTACAATAAAATATTAATTAATATTATTTAAATAAACTAATTTATAATGTTATAGTTTAAATAATAATAAATATATAAAATATAATTTAATATGATAATAAAGATAATAATATATAAGATAAATATAAATAAATAAATAAATATTGAATTCTCCTGATTTTAAGTATTACTGTGAAAAAATCCAAAAAAACAAAAATAAACACCACTTATATTTAAATAAAATAAATATAACATTTAAAAATTCAAAATTAAAATTTTATTAAGATCATTTTAAATAAAAACTTTTTATTCATTTAATTCATTAGATTCATTAGTTTAATATTCATCAGCTAAATCACTATCTATATTTAATATTTTTCTTTCATCATTATTTTCTTTAGTTTCATCTTGTCCAAATAAGTTATCTTCTGACCTATCTATTGCATTGCTAATATCACATTTTTAAATAATTTTATAATCATTTCTTTTGAAATTTTCACTTGAGTCTCAAAAATCTATTTACAAATAATACTATAATCAGATTTCTTTAAATTTTTAACTTTTAATATAAGTAAATTAACCTAACTCATCTAAGTATTCTATTTTTCATGAAGTCTATCTTTAAACAGCTTATTAAAACAAATATCAAGTAGTTAAATTACAGAAGTAAGAGTACTAAGAATAATTGCTAAATCAGTATTTACATTTGATGCAATATTTTTAATAATATTTATTTTGGATCTTCAAAACTATCTATAACAAAAAGTATTCTTTTTTTGTTAATTCTATTTTTTTCAGGTTTATTTTTTCAAACTTTATCAAATCAAGTTTCATTTCAAACTCATCCATTCATCTTTTGGATGCATTAATACAATAATTTCAAAAGGTAAATTTTTTGGTATTTTTTTACCTTTGAAAATAACAATTGGTGGTAATTTTATACTATCTGCAAAAACTGTAAAAACACATGTAAAATAATTTTTTTCATTTTCAGTTATTCAAATTTGTACAGTTTTTACATCACGTTCTTCAATAGTTAAATTTCCAACTATATCAAAAAAACAGGAGTTTTATCCATATTTCCAATCTCAAAAAGTTCATACTCAAACTTTTTTCATCTTTCAATAATAAATTGTTAAAATTCTAAAAGTTTATTACCAAAATAAGCAGGAAGTTTTTAATCAATCTTTGTTTTACGTCACAAAGCAAACCCATATTTTTTAAGAAAATGATAAAACCATTAATTTAAAGTTAGAAAATTTTTATCATCTGAATAAATATTAGCAAATTGTTTGGTTAAAAGTTCTTTAATATAAAATTTAACTATTTTATGAATTATAGCAATTTCATCCTTTCAAAATTTTAAAAGGTCATATTTTTAAATAAGTTTCTACTTCAAGATAATATGCTTTTCTTCCAGTACTAACGTGTCGATTATTGCCTCTTGCAAATTTGAGTTTTTTTCTTTCCTAATGAGAAATCATTGAATTATCAATAGTAAAATGATGAGCAGTTGTTCTTAAACTATGTAATATTGCATATTGCAAAATTTCAAGCTTTTCAGAAGTAGAATAAGAAGAATATTAATCTTTGGATATCATAAATAAAAAAAAGGGAGTAAACAGTAAATTCGTTACTGCTGATCATATTTATTTGTGCTGATTAGTTATATGTAATATTATAATAAAAGTTGTAATTTTGCAAAATTAAACATTTTTTATAAAAATGTTGATTTGATCTTTCTTAGACAATTGGATTTTTAAAAAAATTTTTTTTAAAAAAAGAGAGTTGAATTTTTTTTTTAAAAAAAAAAGGCTATAAAAATTTTTTTAAAAAAAAAAATCACAAATATTTATGTAAATCATGTAAATCAAGTAATACAAAAAACTTCCAATTTTAAGCACCACCCAAAGATTTGATCTGATTTTCTCTTCAAAAATGTGATGCTTAAAATCGGAAGAATACGGCAAGTTAAATAGTTAAAATTTATATTTTGTTAATTTTTATAAAGTAATGAGATTAATACAATCAGATATTAGCATTAATATTAATATAATAATAATAATAATAAAAAAAGAAATATAATATTTATAGTTATAAATAATAAACTATATACAATAATGATAATAATTGTTAATATTAAAAATATTAAAATTAATATCATTTTTAAATCTTTTTCAAATTTCACCTTAAATTTTTCTTCTAATTATAATAATTTTAAAATAGATTTACATGAAAATTTTCTATTTAAATGTAATCTTCATTCATTATAATATCTTGTATAATAAAATATTCCTTCTTCAAATATTTTGATTTTATTTATATATATTTTTTTTTAGAACTGAAAAGAAGTTCTAATTTTTTTTATTGGTAATTCCTATTTGTAAGGATATTAAATTTAGTTTTCTATAATGTAATTTAATAGATAATACTTTACGTATTTATGATCTTGTAATGGTAATTTATGAATTTTTTTATATTCTTCAAATGAAATTATATTTATAAAAAAAAAATATAATTTTTTATATATATAAAAAAAATTGTTTTTTTGAGGATTTTTATATATAAAAAAAAAAATAATTATTTTTGAGAATTTTTTTAAATATTTATAAGTATTTTAAAACGTTACGGATGATTAGCAAATAATAAATAAAACGAACCCATTTATATATGCTTATTTTCAAATTTCTATTTAAAGCTAAGGTTCCTCCATAAAATTAAGTCATACACAAATTAGCGTTTTCACATGTAAAATTAATTTACTATTCTAAATTACCAAAATATAGTATTTCAAGCCGATTTATAAATTAAAAAAAAAATCACTCCCGCCTCCAATCCGTTCGTTCAAGTCCGGCGTTCTAAAAAAAATAACGTTAGAAAAACTTTTTTAACGGGCAATTATTTAAAAATACCCGCCTCAGGTGGACTGATCTACAACTCGGAATAAAATGATTAAAGAAAAAAAGTTTTCATCGGATTCATCGGATACATCGGATATCTAATCATTCCGATTTAGGTAGTCAACCAAAGTATGTAATATCACGCAATTGAGTCTTTGTTAATAAAGTATTTGTTATTTTACTATAAAGAGACTGTAAATAACTTGTCGCAAAAAAAGAGATCATAAGCACCACCAATTGTCTATAAGGCTTGTACACCTTGGTTGATCAAAGAAAAGTAAGTAATGATGTACAGCAAGTATACGAATTAAGCGATACGTGATCTTGAATATTTTATTAATCGTACAAATCATACAATCTATAATATAATTTATAATCCATAATTGTCCATAATACTATCCACATTACTATGTCTAAATTCTTTAATCAGAACATTATCCTTGTATTTATCAATTAATTTTGTAAATTCTTCATTTATACATTCATTGCTTGACGTAAAAAAAGAAAGGACCGGTCGACCTTTCCAATTCTCCAAAAATTCCCCTAGTGTATTAATTGAAAATTTAAATTCATTAAGAATTCCAATAACACTTAGGTTACTAGGTGCGGACCTAACTAATACGTTTAATAATTTTTCTCCCGACGCCAACTTCCTTTCTTCGTACGTGCCTTGATCCTTATCATTAGAATTGTCATCCATCTCTAAAATTAACACCTTCAAATTTTGGCAAGT